TTACATTTTAAGATAACAGAGTTGGCTAGAAGGTTTAATCCAAAGATTGTCCTCAGGCAGGATACATCCTTGTAAAGACCAGACCTACTCCCATAATTTATGTTTTAAGATAACAGAATTAGCCAGAGGGTTTAATCCAAAGACTGTCCTCAGGCAGGATACATTATTGTTATATAATCCTAAGGAATGTAGAGGAAAAAAAGTAAAAACGTTTGTCCTTTCTTCCTCCTTGAATATCCCAGACCTCTCTCTCCTTGGGGACCCCTAGACTTCTTATCAACCTGCCTAGGAACTGACTCTCTCATTCCCCCCTTTCCTTTTAGGAGAATTATGTTGCCTAGGGAAAAGGGGTGTCGTTCTCATTCCATAACTGCTTCAGAGCTGACAAGGGGCGTTGTCCCTAAATTGGTGAGGCAACATATTCTCCTAATCCTCATAGTGAGGATGTCTGATCCAGGGGCTCCAAGTAATAGTTGGAGGAGGCTGTGGCACTCATAGGAGCTCGGACAACTATTTGTAAATTAAAAACTTTTAGACGGTTAGAAAAACCCCATTATACAGTTATAGATGTAAGGCAAAATAGTCATTAAACGAAGTTAAAATCAAAATGAAAAGTCACATTATGTTCATAGTTACATCAGTCCATCTTAAGGTTGTTAGATGTCATCAGTTTAAGAAGAGGCATCACATTAGGTTCTCTTTTTACCTTCACATCTTTGATCCAGCTGAAATTTGGTCCAGTCACTGTAAGGAATCTGGTAGTGATGCCACTATATTTCCCATCCTGCCTTGCAGCTTTTTGCCCTCAAGGCTGGGAGCCAGGAGCCAGGCTCTACAGGTGAAACTGGAGCAGAGATGGGCTTCCCCTCATGTGATAGGAGTCCAAGAAAGCTGGGGCCATACGTATGGGCTGCAGCTGGGAGGAGGGTAGTCGTTCACTCTGGCAGGATGGAGATGAGAGCAACTCAGACCAAGGAGCTGAGAGCAACTCAGACCAAGGGGCTGAGAGCAACTCCAGAACCAAGTCTAAGCTGCGTGGTGCCTCTTCACCACATGCCCCCAGCCCCCCAACTCCATTTCTGTTGAATGAGAAAACCTGGTCTTTGATGCAGGCAGCAATAAACCTGCTACGGGAGAGTGAGCTCACAGAGAGCCAACCACACACACACACACACACACACACACACACACACACATCCCTCAACAAAAGAAAATAAACAAAACAAAAATTCCAAAGCACAAGATGAAAATTAGCACTAAGGAAACCAACACACAGAAAGGGGGAGAGATAAATTGGGAGGTTGAGATCGACATATATGCACTACTGTATATAAAATAGGTAACTATTAAGAACCTACTGTATAGCTCAGGGAACTCTACTCAACACCCTCTAATAATCTGCATGGGTAAAGAATCTTAAAAAAGAGTGAATCTCTGTATATGTTTAATGGGTTCACTTTGCTGTATACCTGAAACCAACACAACATTGCAAATCAACTATACTCTAGTAAAAATTAATTAAAAACAATAATTCAGTAGGGATTTAGACAGGAAAATCAAAATATGTTTTGAAAATTAATAATTCTATATTTCCAAAGCAAATGGTATTTAGAATTTGTAAAACAGGAAAAAAAAAAAAAAAACCCAGAAAGCTGACACACCAAACAAGGTAATTTAACTACTACTAAAAAAAACCCAAAAAACAAAACACTGGCAGCCTTTCCACCAAAATCTCTTTTCAATCTATGAGGACTTGTCTCATTGTACCTTCAGCTGTGCTCACTCACTCCCCAGATAACTAAGCCACTTCTCTGCTCCTACCCTCCTCATCTCCATATGGCATTACCCTTCCAATATCCTGAGCACGTCTCCCACCCCTCCTCAACCCCCCAAACCCTTGGCCGTGTGAAAATCCCTACACCCTCTACCTCATTTGTGAATGCTCCCCTTAGCTTCTTATTCTAAACTTAACATGGACACCCACCCCCACAGGTCACTGCTACCCAGTCATTCTCTTCCCAACCCCCCACTCCTGCACCCTGGTACTCCTGAGCCTGAAGCTGTCCTCCTCTTTCCTCATTGATGTTTCCAGGCCATTCCCCTCATCCTGCCTAGACTCATCCAGCTTTAACCTCATATCATCAGACCATGTCACCCACTATCCACAACTCCTTGGGCTATATTATCACTTGGTTCAGTAATTGGAGCTCCCAGCTCACTGTCAATCTCTTCAAGTTCATTCCTGTCTTGGTTCTTGGTGATTTTTAACATACACACCGATGGTCACTTCCATACCCAGGCCTCTCAGAATCTTAAGCCCCCCATATCATCTCTCCTTCTCCACCTGCACTTACCTCTGTGGTCATTCTCTAGACTTTCTCGATACCAGTCACCACAACCCCTCCAGGCACTGCACTCTCTGAGTGAGACCTCCTGTCTCTCCAGCTCGCTTTTTAAAACATTGAAGTATGTGACATACAACAGCATATTAGTCACAGGTGTACAACACAATGATTTGTACATTTGTACAATGATTTGTATAGCATGATAATATATACATAATCATTTGTATATATTACAAAATGATCATCCCAATAAATCTAGTTAACATCTATTACCACACATAGTTACAACTTTTTTCCCTGTGATGAGAACTTTTAAGACTCATTCTTTTAGCAACTTTCAAATATACAACACATTATTGTTAACTGTAGCCATGATGCTGCACGTGACATCCCCAGGATGTATTTATTTTATAACTGGAAGTTTGTACCATTTGACCCCTTTCATTTATTTCACCCATACCCTATTCCCCACCTCTGTCTGCTCTCTGTATCTAATGAACTTGTTTTTTTTCCCCCAAGATTCCACATGTAAGTGAGACATATAAGTCTTTGTCTCTCTCTTTCTCTGACTTATTTCACTTAGCGTAATGCCTTCAAGTTCCATCCATATCGTCCCAAATGGCAAAATTTCTTTCTGTTTTATGACTGAATAATATTCCATTCATTATTTCTTTATCCATTCATCCACTGATGGTCACTTAGGTTGTTTCTGTATCTTGGCTATTTCAAATAATACAGCTATATACAAGGAGGTTTCAGCTCACTTTTCCTAGAAACTCAACCCCCATCTTTTCACTGCCCCATTCTCCCCCAACTCCTCTCTTCTTACGCAAGTTAAATTCCAAAATCAAATAGTATCATTACTCCTTTGCATGTACTGTCAATTACCAAGGCCCTTTCTCAACTTATACTAGAAATTTAATCATATACTATATATTCTTTTGTGTCTGGCTTCTTTGCTCAATATTGTATTTATGAAATATTTCTTTTTGTTTGACCAGTTTATTTTAATTTTGTATAGCACCCTATAATATAATTACCCCATGACTTATTTCTTCATTATGCACTTGCTTTTGGCTAGTGCTCCTGTGAACATCCTCCTACCTTCTGTGCATACGTTTCTATTTGGAGTGGAATTACTGAGTCACAAGGAATGCACTTCTTCAGATTTAATAGGTGATGCTAAACTGCTTCACGGTGGTGGTACTAATTAATTTATAATCCCATTTACAGTGTATGAAAGTTCCAGTGGCTAGCATCCTTTCTTACATTTGTATTGTCAATCCTTTTAACATTAGCCATCCTGGTGAGATTGTAATTGTGTAACATTGGGATTTTAAATTTGCATTTCTTTGATTAAGGAGGTGAAGCACTTTCATACATATTTATTGGCCATTTGGAGAACACTCTTGCGAAGTATCTTGCCCATTTTACCAATGGGTTGTCTGTGTTTTCATGTTGATTTCTATGAGTTCTTCATAGGACTGTGAGTTAAATGTGTTGCAAATAACCTCTCCCATTCTGTTGCTTACCCTTTTATTCACCTGCTTTTTTGATGAATAAGAAGTCTTAATTTTAGGGACCTCTCATTTATCAATCTTTTCCTCTGCGGTTAGAAGTCTGTGGTTTTGAGTCCTATTTAAGAAATCTTTTTCTACCCTGAGGTTATGAAGTTAATCTATATTCTCTTCTAGATTTATTTTGTTGCCTTTCACATTTGAATCTACAGATGTTCTGGGATTTTGGTGTGAGGTAGTATTCAGCTTTTTAATTTTTTTCAGCTTTTATTTCAGCTTTTTATTTGGAAACTGTCTCAGAACTACTCATTGAATTGTTACTCTTTGTGACACATTGTACCTTCGTTGGGCTTCCCCAGTTGTGCAGTTGTTAAGGAATCCACCTGCCGATTCAGGAGACCATTTGATCCCTGGGTCGGGAAGACCCCCCTGAAGAAGGAAATGGCAATTCACTTCAGTATTATTGCCTGGGAAATCCCATGGACTGAGGATCCTAGTGGGCTACAGCCCATGGGGTGGCAAAGAGTTGGATATGACTGAGCGACTGAGCATGAACACACACACATAACTTTGCTGTGAACGGCAAGTATACGGATGTGAGGGTCTGTTTCTGTTTCATTTAATAAGGTTTGCTTTTATCAGAATGTATCCATTTCATTCAAATTTTCAACTCTGCTTCCGTAAAATTGTTCATAACATACTTCTGTCTTTTCAATGTCTGAAAGATCAACAGTGATATATCCCTTTTCAATTTTGACATTGGTAATTTGCCTTTATTCCTTTTAAAATCAGTCTCACAAAAAACAAAAAAAAAAACAAAAAAAACAAAAAAATAAATAAAATCAGTCTCACTAGAGATTTATCAATTTTGAAAGTATTTTCAAAGACCAATTTTTGGCTTTTCCATTCTTTTATTTTAAACTTTCTGTATCCTTACGTTATAGACATAAAGTTGAGCATATATGTATCTATGTATGTGTCTATGTATCCATGTCTAACAGTCTAGGATCAAATTATATGAAGAAAAAAGTATGTTCATATATCCAGTTTGTAATATATACATGCAAATTAAATGCCTCAGTGAGATAAAAAATTACAGTACTGTACAATCTGTGGTTGGTTGAAACTTGTGTTGTTTAAGGGTCAGCTGTAAAGTAACATAAGAAAGGCACTTAGAATGGGACACTGACGTGTAATAAGTACTCAGTAAATGATAGCTGATCTTTTAAAATTCTCCTATTTTTAGTTTTTTCCTTATATTTTGTGCTAGCTGTGTTGTCTTATAAATAGTAAGTCAGTGAGTGTTGTTTTTAAAATGTGGTTTGGAAAAAAATAATAATAAAATGTGGTTTGGGAATTCCCTGGCAGTCCAGTGGTTAGAACTCAGCATTTCACTGCTAAGGGCCTGGGGTTTAATTCCTGGTAAGGGAACTAAGATCCCACAAGCTGTGAGTCACAGCCAAAAAGAGAAAACTGGGTTTTTACTAAAAATAAACATCCAGAAAGCACACAAACTATAAATCGATAGATATTCATAAAGTGAACAGGGCTGTGGAAACAGCCTTCAGATCAAGCACACCCAGAAACTCTCAACTTGCCTCCTTCCAGGCACCGGTCTCACCAAGGGCACCATTTCTAACAGCACAGATGGCTTCACATTGTTTTGAATTTTATCTGAATTTATATAATGTGTGCACCTTCATGTGTCAGCTCTTTTGCTCAACATTATGTTTGTGAAATTTGTCCTTATTTGTAGGTGCAGCTGCACTTGTTCACTCTTATTGCTGCATAATACTTTATCATGTGATGTATCACAGTTTAGTTTTGCAAGATTCTTGAGAGTCCCCTGGACAGCAAGGAGATCAAGCTAGTCAATCCTAAAGGAAATCAATCCTGAATACTCATTAGAAGGACTTATGCTGAAGCTGAAGCTCCAATATTTTGGTCGCCTGATGTGAACAGCCGACTCTTGGAAAAGACGCTGAATCTGGGAAAGATTGAGGGTAGAAGGAGAAGAGGGCATCAGAGGATGAGAAGGCTGGATGGTGTCACCAATATAATGGACATGAACTTGGGCAAACTCCAGGAGATGGTGAGGAACAGGGAGGCTTGGCGTGCTGCCGTCCACGGGGTCATGAAGAGTCGGACACGACTGGGCAACTGAACAGCAACAAATATGGTTGATGGTCTTTTGGTCTTTCTTGGCTAGGACTATCTCAAATGATGCTTCTGTGAACACTCTTATGCATATATTTTAGTGAACCTCATATGCATTTTGGTTGGGAATATGCCTTAAGATGGAATTGCTGGCTCATAGGATATGCATTTTTTCAATTTTACAAGGCACTGTTAAACTGTTCTACAGAGGGGCTGTACCAGTTTACATTCCCACAAACCTTGCCTTTTAATAAGAGTTTGTAATTGTCATAACTGTTATGACCAATGTCATGTTATTTTGTGGTTTTGTTTTTGGTTTCCTTGCTGTTCTTTTATATTTAGTTCTCCTTTCAGTATAAACAGAACTTTGTTTTGCTTGCCTTTTGAAATAACTTGGAGGATAAAGAACCTGCTTTTAATTTTACTAATGGTTACTATACAGCAATTCCCAATTGTTGTCACAAGTCTAATTATCAAAATTACAATAAAAACAATTATGTTGACTCACTTTTCATGAAAGGTAAAGATTGCAGTGCTTTTGCTCCCTTCCCTGAGTCCTGTCTTCAAGAAATTAATGCTGTGTCATAAATTCTATCATCCAAAATTTAGCCCATCAGAGAGGTGTTAATTTGTAGGGCTTGATATTGGCCCATATTAAATTGATCCAATGGCACAATGCCATTGACCTTGAATGCTGTTGTAAGAAAAGCTATGAAACTCCTGACTGTAATTATGAGGATCTTGTTCATTGCATTACTGTGTTTTCCCAGCAAGGCATTGTTCCCAGATCTCAGAATCAGAAACTGTGCTTTTCATGAGCATGTGACTTATTTTTACCTTACGAACCCAGATATTTTCCTTTTTATAACACTGACTTGTAAGAAATTTAGAATACATTGGGTTGGCCAAAAAGTTCTTTCAAGTTTTCCCGTAAGCCAGGAAAAACCCAAATGAACTTTCGTCCAACCCAATATTTTATTTCTCTATGTTTATATCTTTGAAAACAATATTATACTCTTTTGGAAATGGGGCAAAATATGAATCAGTGTGGCAGGGCAAAGATGGCTTCCATGTCAAAGGTGGTTATCTCCAGGGAGAGAAGTGAGAATGAGAAAAATAAAAAGTGAAAATAGTTTATTAATTTGCATTATTTAAGTATGAATTTGTATGTTATTAACACAATTTTAAAAAGAAGTATGTGTACATTGAAAAGAAAGAAATTAAAGGCAAATACATGTAGGAGCTGGGATAGAACTCCCTAAGATATGAAACCATATAGAAATGATAGAGCGATTTGACCCAAAATTTAAAAACTTTCTCTCCAGCAAAACACTGAAAACAAAGTCCCCAAATCAGTAGACTACTGACAGACAAGATTAAAAACAAATGTTATAGACAAAGATGAATAACCTCAAAATATAATGAGCTTCTACTAATCAAGAAGAAAGTGAGAAAGAGCTAATAAAATAGGATATAAACAGGCAAATCACCAAGAAGAATGATAAAGGACCTATTAACATATATTAGTTAAACTAATAAGTTAAGAAANCCGCCCCCTCTGGTCTCGCCCCTACGCAATTGCGCTTCAGGCCTCCTCCCACCCACTGCCCTTATTTAGCGACTCTTGGCCCTGGCGAAGCCCAATCACCTCCCTCTGTACCGCTTCCTCCGCCTGCGCGGGCACAGTAGCCTGCAGACCCGGAAGTGAATGTAGACTAGCGACGGAGGACTTCCGGTGTGTTTGCTATGTTTGTTTGTTTAAAACCCAGATTTCGTAGTTGCTCAGCCTGTTGTCCTCAACACGTGAGTTTCCTCAGTGTCTTTGGACGTTAAAGAAGACTCTTGAGATTCCCTTGGACTACACGGAGATAGAGCCAGTCAATCCTAAAGGAAATCAGTCCTGAATATTCATTGGAAGGACTGATGCTGAAGCAGAAACTTCAATACTTTGGCCACCTGATGTGAAGAACTGACTCATTTGAAAAGACTGGTGCTGGGAAGAATTGAAGGTGGGGGTAGAAGGGGACGACAGAGGACGAGATAGTTGAATGGCATCACCGACTCGACGGACATGAGTTTGAGTACGCTCCAGGACTTGGTGATGGACAGGGAAGCCTGGTGTGCTGTCGCAAAGAGTCGGACACAACTGAATGACTGCTGAACTGAACTGAAGCATCTAATGACAAAAATACGGTAGTTTTATCTATACTGACCTGAAAAAGCCCACAATATGTTAATCGTGGTTGAAAGAAAGAATGAGCAGATGGAAATACATAACCTGAATGAAAGCTCAAGTGGATCAAAACTAGATATTAAATAACCTCTGGGCACAGAGGGCACCAGAGGGGTTCTGGCTTCTTCTACCTTCCTTGGGGTTTGACAAGGAGGCAGTGTAGTCGTAAGTTTCCAGTTGGTGCAGTGGTAAAGAATCCTTGTGTCAGTGCAGAAGATGCAAAAGATGCAAGTTCGATCCCTGGTTGGGGAAGATCCTCTGGAGTGAGAAATGGCAATGCACTCCACTTCTTACCTGGAAGATTCCATGGACAGAGGAGCCTGGTGGGTTACAGTCAGTGGGGTCTCAAAGAGTCGGACTACAGGACTACACCTTTGTAGTCTTAAACGGGCACTGGCCTTTCAAGATTAGCTTGGGGCTAGTTTGCCTGAGAGGATTATAGTGTCCTAGGGGTGTGTGTGTGTGTGTGTGTGCATGCGCGCACGTGTGTAAGAGCTTTGTTGCCTGCATCTTTGTTTGGGATCGGGTCGTGAATTGGGTTCTGTTTTCACTCGCCACTCTTCCCCCTCTCTGTGACCACCCGTAAGGACCTAGCACCTAGCCAGGGAAGCCAAACAAGATCTTGAAGAAAAGCCAAAACTCCCAAACCAGTAAGTCTCCCTCTCCCCACAAAGCCTGCCTCCACATTTCCTCTTACCGTTTAGAAGTAAGTGCAAAACGTGTTCTCAAATCTTGTACCTTCCCTTCCATTCTGGATCTGCTTCCAAACCCCCAACTCTGATGAGAGGGGAGCCTGAGTTCTCAAGGTGCATGCGCACCAAGAAAGGAGCTGGGTATCTGTCTCTACGCTTGGGCGTGATCTAAACTTCTGCTAGTTGTCTGGTTGGACTGCTCTTCTCCACTTCTCATTGCCAATCATCCCATAGCTCATGAGGAGCCTGGCAGGCTACATTCTGCGGGGTCGCAAAGAGTCGGACACGACTGAGCCACTAAGCGCAGGACAGCACAGCACAGGAAGGTCCTAGGAAGTGAGTGGATGCAGTTAATGGAAGATGTAGGGAAGCACTCCCTGCGTCTCCTGGCCCCTCTGCACCCCCCCCACCCACCACACACACACCCCCTTTAACGACATACACAAGTAACTGGGCCTCACGTTATCAGGAAAAATAGTTTTTTCCCCTTCAGATTTGACTTAACATTTTTCTAGCTCCTTTTTTCCTCTGTTCCTTCTACCCTTCCTGTTTCTTATTTTTTAAAAAAATAGTCTTTTTTCCCCCCGATATCCTAGAAAATAATCAAAATAGCCTATGTGATTTCACCACAGGTAATGAAGTTTTGACCTCAAAATGTATTGTTGAATGAAGTCCTGCACATGAAATAGCCTACAAGCTTCTGCCAACAGCAAACATACCAAAATGAGGCTACAGAATGTATTTCTTGGAAAACCAAATAAAGGAAATAGGAAGAAACAGGCAAAGTCCATTTCTTTTCTCTGCCCGCCTCCTGTTGCCTAATTCTGTTTTCACGAGGTCTTTGGAAAAGGGCAAGATTCCAGAGTTGTGGGCCTGTGCTTATTTGATCCTGTTTTTCATGCCTCCCTTTCTTCTTTTTAGCTTCTCTCTCATGGATGGTGCTCACTTACTACATGAACCGTATTATTACCAGATGACATTCAGTGGCGACACCACATATGCCTTTTCTGGAACAAGCTGTAACAAGAGTCTAAAACATGATTTGCGGTTCTCAAAGGGTTTGGTCAGTGTCCATGCACTCTTCCTTGGGGAGGTTGAGACTTGCTGTGTTTGAAGAGTGTGGGGTCTTTCTTGATAAAACTGCGGTTCCACTTGCTAGGTTTGCAGGATGATTACAGAGCAATGGGGTGACAAGTGAAAATGAAACCTCCTATTGAAAACACAATGCGGGCCACTCCCCACACCCTAGCCAAACAAGTTCCCTTGTCTGTCTATCAGAAGGGAAGTGTGTTTGGCTAAGCAAAGATGGGGTGTGGTGGGCAAATGCAGGGGAGAAGGAGACAAGGGGATGGAGAGGGAAAATGGAAGGAAGTTTCTGTGCCCTCAGGGCTTCTGATTCTCCACAGCTTGGAGCTCCAGGGTCTACCACTGTGGCCTGTGGTCCCCACTCCCCCGCCCCCATCAACTGGCTGTCCTCTCTGGACCCTGCCACCCTCACTCCCTCCATGCCCCCTCATAGCTGGGTCCCTACTCACTGACGTTGTGGACAAGAAAGGACACACGGGGCCTTTCTGGATAATTTTCAGGAAATTCAAGAAGAGATGAGAAAATGGGATGTAAAAAATCAGTGTTTCAGTTTTTAATTTCCCTTCAAGAAATCTCATTGGTGGAGGCCTCCTCCAACGGTCAGATGGCTTAGATTTTCTCTGAGCTAATTAGGTCTTGACATATATTTGCCAAGTATTCTGTACAATTTTCTTCTTTCATTTCCAAAATTTTAAATCTAATTCATGGAGCCTTGAATACAATAATATACCAGCATGGAAAATAAATGCACTTTGAAAGTGAAAAAAGGGAGCCTGCTGTTCGATTTACATCATTTTGTTAACGGGTTAGTCAACATTTACTCAGAACCCTCTGGGTACAGAATGTAATAGGCATGTGGGAAAATTACAAAAGATATGGGAAGATATTTTTTTCTGCCTGCAAAAATCCAACTAATTCACTCTAATGGAAGACACCAACTAAAGACATATGAGAACAGCTAACAATACAAATAAAGGTTATGTAAAACATCTCATTCTCTGCTGCCCCTTTGTCCTCTTGCCTTCAATCTTTCCCAGCATCAGGGTCTTTTCCAATGAGTCAGCTCTTCGAAACAGATGGCCGAAGTATTGGAGCTTCAGCTTCAGCAGCAGTCCTTCCAATGAATACTCAGGGTTGATTTTCTTTAGGATGGATTGGCTTGCTCTCCTTGCTGTCCAAGGGCATCAGTGATACCACCCAATCCTTCTGTGACTCCTTCTGACCAGCTCTTTTAGTGGACTTCTTGTAAAGTCAAGTGTCTGCTTTGGATAAATAGGACTTTCAAGAGGAGTGTGTTATGCTTTTTCAAAGCTTCCTTATCTGTGTTTACTGCTGGCAGAAATCTGGAAAGCTGCTAAGAACCTGGCCAAAACCTCTATTTTGAATGATAAAGTCTACAAGGTAAGTTCAAGCTCCCTTCTGACTTGTCAAGAGTGTTTCTGGATCCTTTTGAGAACTATCAGGTTTAACTGCCTGTGCTTTTGAGTGAAGTGCCTTTGAGGCCCACTTATTTTCTTGGGCTTCAAAATCACTGCAGATGGTGACCGCAGCCATGAAATTAAAAGACGCTTGGTGCTTGGAAGAAAAGCTATGACAAACCTAGACAGCATATTAAAAAGCAAAGACATTACTTTGTTGACAAAGGTCCATCTAGTCAAAGCTATGGTTTTACTAGTAGTCATGTATGGATGTGAGAGTTGGACCATAAAGAAAGCTGAGCACCAAAGAATTGATGCTTTTGAACGGTAGTGTTGGAGAAGACTCTTGAGAGTCCCTTGGATTGCAAGGAGATCCAACCAGTCCACCCTAAAGGAAATAAGTCCTGAATATTCATTGGAAGGACTGACGCTGAAGCTGAAGCTCCAATGCTTTGGCTGTCTGATGTGAAAAACTGACTCATTGGAAAAGACCCTGATGGTGGGAAAGATTGAAGGCAGGAGGAGAAGGGGACAACAGAGGATGAGATGGTTGGATGGCATCACCAACTCGATGGACATGAGTTTGAGCAAGGTCTGCGAGTTGGTAATGGACAGGGAAGCCTGGAGTGCAGCAGTCAATGGGTTGCAAAGAGTTGGACACAACTGAGCAACTGAACTGAACTAGTGACTCAAAACAAAGCATGTCAGAGCACCTGTGGGGAAAGATTATTTTTTCTTAATCCATCACAGAACAATGTTTTGGAAAATAATAATAAACTACTAGGAAAATTTAATTTAAAAAAAAGCCCAAAGACTACTAAACACAAGTTTATTTTTTATTTATTTATTATTTATTTTTGTTTGGTTTTTGTCATACATTGAAATGAATTAGCCATGGATTTACATGTATTCCCCATCCCGGTCCCCCCTCCCACCTCCCTCTCCACCCGATCCNGTTCCTCTGTTCATGGGATTCTCCAAGCAAGAATACTGGAGAGGGCTGCCATGCCCTCCTCCAGGGGATCTTCCTGATCAAGGGATTGAACCTACATCTTCTGCATTCGCAGGTGGGTTCTTTACCTTCTGAGCCACCAGGAAAGCCCAGAAGTATTTTATAATCAATAGGAAATGCATGTTCATTTCTAGATGGTAAGAGTCATAATAGTAAGTATAGGAATTAAAATATTTAACTGATAATGAAGGCAAGTATGATGTAATTTGGGTTACCCAGGTGGCACTTGTTTTAAAGAACCCACCTGCCAATGCAGGAGATGTAAGAGACATGGGTTCGATCACAGGGTTGGGAATATCCCTTGGAGCAGGGCATGGCAACCCTTTCTAGCATTCTTGCCTGGAGAATCCCATGGATGGAGAAGCTTGGTGGGCCACAGTCCATGGGGTTGCAAAGAGTTGGACATGACTGAGCAACTGAGCACAAGGTCCAATCTAACAGTGCTCAATAAATGCAGGGAGGAGGAATGAAATAATAAAACAATACCAATTAAATGTGCTAGAAAATAAGCACATGTAAGCAGGCACCTTACCTGTAAGATTTAACAATATTGCTGAGAGTGTCCCAAGAAATACTACTTTCACTGGCATCTTCAAAGGAGAAAGATTTGCTGACAAAACAAGACGGAAAATGGATGAAGCTTCCTAACCTGGAACCTGCCCACTATACACCTTCAGGCCACACTTCTCCATGAAGATGGCAGGAACAGAAATACCTTGGAGATACGTTGGTACCAAGGAAAATGGGTGGACCTGGCAGCCCAAGGCCTGGCATCAACGTCCTAAAGACCCCACCCTGCTGACCTCCCCATCCAATGGCACATTTATCCTGGGTGGGCTGCTCTAACCAATGCCCCCGTCGCTCTTGGCCCTAGTGGTACTCAGCCTGGTAAGTACAATACTTCTCAACTTACAGGTAATTTTCTCAAGAGATGTCTTGCCTCCTCTCCTTCCATCCTTTTCTCTCTCTCTCTCTCTCTTACATTTGGTGGACCCCTTTACAGTACTTAACTGGTGGCTCAGTGATAAAACATCTGCCTGCCAATGCAGGAGACAGAAGAGATGCAAGTTCAGTCTATGGGTCAGGAAGACCCCCTGAAGTAGGAAATGACAACCCACACCAGTGTTCTTGCCTGGAGGATCCCATGGACAGAGGAGCCTGAGGGGTTATAGTTCATAGGGCTGCATAGAGTCAGACACTGAGCCCACACCTCTACCTTTCCAGTACTTATAGTGTGTCATTGTATTTTTGTACGTGGTTACTTTCTTCACACTTTTAGGTCAGTGAGGGTTGGGAACCATACCTGTGATGTCTGTCCCTGTGGATTCTGAGTCTTTCCATGTTGTCTGGAACCAGGGCACTCATATCAGTGTGAGCGACTGCTGGCCCTCAGCAACCATGCTGCTTGTACAGGCTCACCTTGTTTTATTGAGCTTCGCAGATACTATGCTTTTTACGACTTGAAAGTTTGACACAACTCTGTGTTGAGCAAGTCTGTTGGGGCCATTTTCCCAACAGCATTTGCTTGCTCCCTGCCTCTGTGTCACATTTTGTCAATTCTGGCAATATTTCAAGCTTTTTAAGAAAATTATTATATTTGTTTAGGTGATCTACGATCAGTGATCTCTAATGTTATCCTATGACTCACAGAAGGTTCAGATGATGCTTAGCACTTTTTAGCAAAACAGTATTTTCTACCTAAAGTATGTACATTTTTTAGACATAATGCTATTGCACATGTAGTACGCTACATTATGGTGAAAACATAACTTTTATATGCACTGGGAAAGCAAAAAATTCATGGGACTCTTTTAATTACCATGTTCTGTGTATTGCTATAGTCTGGAGCCTAACCCTGCAATCTCTCTGAGGTCTGCCTGTAATGGATTTTTTCTCCATTTTCACTTGTAAACTTTTAATTCAATGAGCTGACTTTGATAGGGTGGAATCATGAAGCAACTTAATTTTGTGTCACTGTCCCTTCAAACCCACTCTGTGGGCTCCTTCTCTTTCTGCTAGTGGGAATGCACTTGGGCAGGTCCTATAGCTTGTAATGTCTGTTGTGGGTCATAAAAAGTCACTTGTGTCTCAAGAAAAGACTTATGTTACTAGTTACAGCCACTGCGGGGCCATGATGGAAGCTGTGAACGTTTGCCCACTCCACCCCCAACCTGAGGTCTCTGGGTTGTGGGCCTCACCTGGGTCCTAGCAACTGGGGATCTGATCATTCCCATCAGTCCCTGTGGTCAGGGTCTTTAGTGGGGACGGCGGCCTTGCTCTGGGAGCCCGGCACACAGAAGACTCGGGAAGGCCCTAGCAGGCTTCCAGTGACAGGGGCTGGGGGGCAGTGTCCCTGGACCCACACCCTTTCCTGCACTTTTCCACTGTGGGTGTCCTGCACGCTGGCGTCGGGTGGAGAGGGGCGTTGCAGCGGGGTTGGGGGTGAGAGGGTGGTCAGTGTCTCTTCCCTCCTGCTGGGAGGGGTCCAGCACCTGCCGTCCTGTGGGCTCCCACCAGACCCTTCAAGGCCCTAGGTCTATAAATGGAAGTGAGGCAATGTAATGTTACCTAGCCCAAGCTCACTCTGCTAACTGCAGGACAGGCCAATACATCGGGAGGCTCAGTTGTTGGGGGAAAGGAATTCGACTTTAATCGGAAAGGGAACAGATGGAGCAGATGGCAGACTAGTGTCAAAAAAAACCATCTCCCCTCAGCCTAACTCAGGCTCCTTTTATACAGAGGAAGGGCAGAGGGAAGGGCCTACTGAGATGTTGACCAATGGCTGAGCAGGACTGCTAACGGTCGCTTCTAACGGTCACTAACCTGGGGGAGGGGCCCACTGCTGATGCTGACCAATGACTGAGCGGGACGGCTAACAGCGGGGCCCCGCCCCCCCACCCCCATTACAGTCACATCTTTTGCTCTTCTTAGGAGGACACCAAAGAGTTCCTCAGAGATACATTTGAGGAAATTTTTTTTTTCAGTCTTTGCTTTCTCTCGCCACTTCTGACACCGTTGACCACTTCCCCCTTGAAGCCCTGTTGCTTGGTTTCCATGACCTCTAGCGTCTCTTCACCTCTTTCGCTTCCCTCTCAGGCTCTCTCAAAGGTTTGTGTTTTCTTGATTGCTCCTTACCTACAGTGTCTCCAAGTTACGGGCCCAGTCTCTCTCCAGCCTTGCGTGCTAAGTCGCTTCAGTCGTATCAGACCCTTTGTGACCCTACAGATTATAGCCCTCCAGGCTTCTCTGTCCGTGGGATTCTCTGGACAAGAATACTGGAGGGGGTCGCCATGCCCTCCTTCAGGGGATCTTCCTGACCTAGGGATCGAACCCATGTCTCTTCCATCTCCTGCATTGGCAGATGGGCTCTTCGCCTGGGAAACCCTCTAGCCTTAACTGATTCCTTCTTTCACTGGTGGCTTGATTCATTCACTACTTTCTTCATCACTGGGCCCTGGGCACAGAGCCCTGAAGCACATTCTTCAGATTCAAAACTCAGCTTCAGGACTTCCCTGGTGGTCCAGTGGTTAAGTCTCCACACTGCTAATGCAGGGGATACCGGTTCAATCCCTGGTGGGAGAACTAAGATCACACATGCTGCGCAGTGTGACCAAAAAAGAAACAAAACTCAGTTTCAGGTCACTCCTCCAGAAAGCCTCTCCTCAGCTTCCAGACAGAATTCAGCCTCATACCTGAGGCACCTCCTGCTTGAGGTGCTCTAAGACTTTGCCCATTGTTGTAATTATTGTCTGGGATGTCTGCCTCCCCCTTTAGACTGTGAGCCCTTAAAGGCAGGGACTCTGTTTAGTAAATTTTGTACCCCTGTCATATCCAGAAAAAGTCTATTAGTGATTATTGAATAAATTAAAATGCTGTGTCTGATTAATGCTGTGTCTACAATTACAAATAACTTTATCTTTGCAATACTCCCTGAAAGTAAGAACAGTGAACATCAGATCTAAGGCTCCTCTTCTACGGGCAGGCTTGGGTGGAGGAGGTGTGGGTGGAGGAACAGATCAAACACACCTGTGTCCAAAGCCTGGCTTTGCATGCTTTGTATGCTAAGTTGCTTCAGCGGTGTCTGACTCTTTTCAACCCTGTGGACTGTAGCCCACCAGGCTCCTCTGTCCATGGGATTTCCCAGGCAAGAATATTGGAGTGGGTTGCCATTTCTTCCTCCGGGGGACCTTCCTGACCTATGGATCGAACTGGGCTAAGAATGGACCCTTTCTATTCATATGGTTCTTATGAAGAGTAAAAATGAGGGTTGGGGAAGCACTTACTATAATTACAACTTAGTAAGCCTTCAACAAATGCTAGCAGTTTTTTTACTGCATTTCATAGAATCTAAGAAATCATCGTTAAAAAAAAAGTCCTTATTTTATGTACATTGAGAAAAAATGCTGCCAATCATGACATGCCATTGATTGAAAAACCCCTTCTTATTTCAGAGAGGCTGAAGTATGGGGGTGGGAGAGTCCAGTCTAGAATCAATAGAGTATTATTGTATCTTTCTGGGGAAAAAAAAGTGTGGAGGATAAAGAATGGGCTGTGGGAGGGTATTTTGGGGATTGATGTGGGAGTGGCTAGTGCTTTGCTCTACCAGAATGTAAAGATGCAAATATCCTGTCCCCATTTCTTTCATTTCAAATGCAAGATGCTAGACATTGGGACCCTGCTGCATGCAGGGAAAGATAAAGATGCTGTGGAATTAATGGAAACAAGATCATACATTGGCAAGGGGGAGAGATGGAGGGAAGGGATTATTAGGGAGTTTGAGATGGACACATGCTGCTATATTTAAAACGGATAACCAACAAGGACCAATTGTATAGCACATTGTATCTGCTCAATGTATGTGGCAGCCTGCATGGCAGGGGAGTTTGGAAGAGAATGGATACATGTATATGTATGGCCAAGTCCATTTGCTGTCCACCTGAAACTATCACAACATTGTTTATTGGCTATACTCCAATATAAAATAAAAAAGTTTAAAAAAAACCAACAGACATTTGCAGAGCTCAAGGGGAGGCAGAGCCGAGTATGAACCCATTAAAACTCAGCATCTCGGAAATGAAAATCACCATATAAAAATACCCTACATAACAGTAACTTCAGTTTTTTTTTTAATTTAGGCGATTAGAAATACCAGAAAGTAACTTCTACTACTTCTAAAGCCAGACTTCCAGATCAAAGAGTGAAGTTGTGGATCTACATTCGGCTTGGTCCCTCCCATTGGCCATTCTATCACATCAGATCATAATAATGTGTAGGGCTTCTATTTGAAATTTTGAAGCCCAGTGTGTGAAATGGAAGAGGATTCTTTCAGCGGGAAGTGTAGCTCCTACATAAAGAAACAGCTGAAATAATCAATACAAAAAAAAAAAATCACAAGCCAAAACTGTTTCCTTTAGAAGAGAATTTGTGACATTAGTTTTAAAAAAGGGAACAAATGTCAAGGGCAGCTGGGTTAATGAGTACACGAAGTACAGCTGCTCTTGCCCATGGAGACTGGAGCGCTGACGTGGACGAGCAGGAGCGGAAAATGACGGTGGTGACTGCCGCAGCCCTAACCAGGCACTTACTCCACGTCCATTCATAATGGGGGATGATTGGCACTGCCGGCAGAAGGAGAGACGCTGGACTGTAATTAGAACGTTGGCGCTCATCAAAATCCAGTAAAACAAGGAGAGCCATGATTTCTTAAACCTGAAGCTACAGTCCGCAAAATGGCTTTGCTTTTCCAATTCTTTATTGTTTCAGTATTCATTGAAAAAAAGGAAAAAACCCACAGACCATGCAAAATTAAGATGCTCTATCACAGAAGAATAAATGAGATGAGCCTGCTTTCTGTATAATGGCCAATATTTAGAGATGTGCTCTATAAACTTCAATGAAAATCACTGCAGAATATTTCACTTCAGAAAGACATTTCTTTTGGCTAAAGGGCTATTTCTCCATCCTCCTCTTGTTCCTAGATACCATTATTTCTGCACTGAGACAGAGCTGACCCACTATGTCATGGTGTCGACTGAGAAATGACTTCTAGGTTAGAACTGGGCTTTCTATTCAGGGAGAATGACTGATGTGTAGTTACCCAAGTTCTCTTTGAAGGTAAGGTTGAACCAAGTCTCGAGTATTTTCTTTTGAACCCTTTAAAGCTTCATATGTATATTAGAATTTGGTTAATCACCAGTCTTCTAACGTAGTCCTGGTAGTCTTCTAGACCTTAATCCTACAGAATTGAATTCACTTTTTAAAAGCACTTAATCTTTTATTAGCATAGATACAGTATAAGCATTTCCCCCTCTGATCTGAGTTACAAATAACCTGTGTCTTACTGTTCTGGGTTTTTAAAAATTGCCTGTTTTTGGCTGTGCCCTGTGGCATACAGGATCTTAGTTCTCCAACCAGGGATCAAACCCATGCCCCCTGCAGTGGAACTGCAGAGTCTTAAACACTGGACTGCCAGGGAAGCCCCTACCTCTGTCTTACTGTTCTGTTTGTTGTGAATGAAATCAGCAAGAAATAGAAAAGGACCACTCTATTTGGTCAGATCATTAGTAACCTAAATTTGGTAAAGTTGCATTTTTGAAACATTAATCTCAAATTGTTCTCACAAGCAGTATTACCATAGTTTCTCATATTTGAGGGGGGAAGAAACTATTAGTCCCGAAGTCAGTCAACCAACATATAACAAGAGTAACAACCTCAGCCTTCAGATTTTGGTCTGTTTCATATATTATCCACACTTGGGTATCTGCCACATCTAGGCCCTCCAGTTCAGTTGTAATTTCTAGGACATTTTGAGATCAGCTCAAATTTCTTGATAAACACTATCTTGTAATACACCCTTTTCCTTTCCCAGGTAAATATGCTCATTTACCTGATGGAGTTTGAATCTGTTAGAAGGTAAGGCAATTCTAAGCAGCTAATAGCTCTCTGGAAGTGGTACATGCCATCTAAATTAATGTATAGTTTCATAACCATAGGTATCTGCTTTTTAAAAAATCATTTTTTAGAGATTACACATACTATTTGCTTTTATGATTATTGTATCACATAAATGTAATTCATTCGATAGAGACTTGAAAGTTTGCTTAATGGACAAACTTTATGGACATTCATTCATTCATGCATGCAGTCTTCCAATGACTAAATGCTGTGATGACGGGTGGAGCGGGAGGTGGGAGGGGGGATCGGGATGGGGAATACATGTAAATCCATGGCTGATTCATGTCAATGTATGACAAAAACCACTACAATATTGTAAAGTAATTAGCTTCCAACTAATAAAAATAAATGAAAAAAATTAAAAATAAATAAAAATAAAAACAAGAGATTATAAAAGCAAAAAAAATAAATGCTGTGATGGTGTCTTGAACATCTCTTGCAGCATCGCCGGCCCTGAGCTCAAGGGCAGCAGCTCAGTACTCAGTGAGCAAGTACTCACCAGCCTCATGCAATGAAGTCTTACAGGGAAAAGTAGTTAACAACTAAAATTACTTAATAATACTATGAGCCATTCATTCCATGAACTGTTTGTCACAAACTTATGAGCTAACGAATAACATTTGATAGGCATCAGGCATGGAGCTATGCACAATCCATTCTTAGAATTACTTCATGGGGACATGGCTATCATTCTCAGGAAACTGAGTCACAGATGTTAACTAGATCATACAGAGTTGATGGGTGGAGTCAACATTTGAAGTTTGGCCTTCTAGTTTTGCCACTATGTACTTATTAATGTTCATGGAAATCAGCAAGCTATTTTATCACTAAAGTTTGGATCTTCAAAATAAGGGATTTCTTTCTTCGGCCAGTGTAAATTCAAAGTTACTAATAGTTATGTGATGGAACCTAAGCTTCTTAAATTTTTGATTTTTGTTTTAGAACACAAAATGTTTGATTTCAGCTTTATGCAAACATAGTAATAATCTTTTCACAAAAATAGTTAAGCTAGGCAAATTGGCTTAGCCTTTCCTTGAATTTTGGATAAATCTGGTTGATGTGTGACACACGGGTACCTAGTGCAGCTTTTTGTTAAGCAAGTCATGCTTAGGTAACCACAAGACTAGTTTCTCTTTTTAAAGACTTGGCTGGCTGCTGTCCTCATAGCACAGAGCTGAGCCCTAGGTGGGTGCTGCCTAATGTGAATGGCTAATGGCTTTACACAGTGTTTAGTAATCAGATGGTCAAAGCCCTATTACTGAAGTACAGTTGACTTACAAAGTTGTGTTAGTTTCTGTGGTGTACAGCAAAGTGATTAATTTAGACCTATGTACATTCTTGTTATTAAAATTTTTTTTTGGCCACACCACATGGTATGTGGGATCTTAGTTCCCAGACATGATTGAACACGTACCCCCTGCATTGGAAGCACAGTCTTAACCACTGGACATCCAAGGAAGTCCTCATATTCTTTTTCAAAGAATTGTCATTATGGCTTATTACAGGATATTGAATATAGTTCCCTATGCTGTAGGTTTGCCTTGTCTTCCATTCTAGTGGGTTGAGCTGTATACCCAGGGCTTCTAAAACATGTACTCAGTTCAACCCCATTTACTCTCTTCAGGCCCTTAGTTAATTCTGTAAGTCTTTAATTCTGTCAACACTAGCTAATTTCTACTCTGCATTATCTTTTGTGTTGAAGTTTTATAGTAGATGATGCTTTGTAACTGAATCAAGTATCATACCTAGGGTGAAAAACATCTCTTGGGGGAAGAACATCAGTTTAAGCACTAACCTATAATTTTCTCCAGGGTTACTCTGAAGGCTACTCTTTAAAAAATGCAAACAGGTGATCAATATCAATTGATTTTTATTGATTGTAGACAGGCCACAGAACTAGTTTTCTGTGAAAACATCTGGGAACACCTTGGAAATAAAGGGTGTCATTAGCTGTTGCCAACATCTGTGTGACATGTTTCTCTCCCATTCCCTCTTACACAAGCATTGCTCTAGGATTAGTTCTGAACTTAAGACTATGCACAACTAATTTTAGAAGAATGTTAATCCATTTTTTTCCAGAAGAGTCCACCTGGGCCACTCACAGTCATATGCTAAAATGCAGGCAAGAAGGCATCTTTTGGAGGGAAAGACACCCCCAGAGTGGCAAAGCAACTAGTTCAAGGTTACTCCGTGATGCTTCTCCCCAGGCTTCAGTGTGACAGAGGCTGGGGGACACGCAGCCTCTGGGGGCCTGTAGGGAAATTTGATTTGTAGGGGATCTAGGGCTTACTCTTTATTACAAGTACACTGTTGCATATGTGTGTTTTGTAATGCCAACGGCTTCCCATCAAAACCCATAGCATATGCTCAATGGGTTTGCAGCACCTGTAGTAAGTGCTATAATTTCATAGAAAGAAGATTCCTCGACTGAGTGTGGAGTCACTGCATGCTGGGTCCCCACTGCTGCCATTCTAGGTGTCAGGGAGCATGTATGCATGTAAAGGATGACCAGTCTGGCAGTAAAAAAGACACACCTTTAAGTTTGTTTAGCCCAACAGTCCCTGAAGTTGGTTACAAACCATTTTTTCTCAGACATGCTCTCATAAATAATACATGAAATTAATCATGCTTTTGGTTGAACATGTGTTACTTTGGAGGAAAGGCTATTCTAAATGTTTATCAAAAGTATACTCTTTAAACATGTGTACAGGTCTTCCCTGGTGGTCCAGTGGTTAAGAATCCACCTGCAATGCAGGAGACATGGCTCTGATCCCTGGGATCTAGGAAGATACCACATGGCTCAGCGCAACTAAGCCGGTGTACTGCAGTTACTGAAGCTGGTGCATCCTAGAGCCCATGTTCCCAACAAGAGAAGCCACGACAACGAGAAGCCTGTGAGAGAGTAGTCCCCTTTCGCTGCAACTACACCAAGTCTATACACAGCAGCAAAGACACAATGCAGTCAAAAATGAATATTAAAAAAAAATTCACTTATAAAAATAAATGTGTACCTTTAATGAGATTAGACACTAAAAACAGTGTAAAATTTGCTAACAAAGAAAACGTTCAAGATGCAGCTTGTGAAAGTAAAAATTTTTATTCTGATTGATTTCTCAACGTATAGTTCAATATAAGGCCAGTTTTTAATGGCAGAGATTTGGTTCCACGGAAACTCCATGATGCTACAGAGAGCTACTACTTTTTCCAGGAAGTAGGTAAACAGCTGGAAACAGAAAGCACTTTCTAGCAGCATGGCAACTCATTAAACTGCAGAGTGACCAGGTCTGCAACTTTTATACTAAAAATGGCGCAAACATTAGCTGGTGACAGAAGGGAGAAGTGGGGAGCAAGATGTGAACATTGAAAGGAGCGATATGTGTCTTGTAAAGATGACAAAAACCCAAGGACAGCTATAAAGATTTGAAAGGATAATTATAGAAAAGGGAACCAAATATTTTACCCAAATGTTTTTTAGAGCCTTTCTGTAGAGATACAAATATATATATATATATTTATCCAAAAATATGTTTTATACAGATAAATGATTTCTCAAATAAGGATGGAACCAAAGCTACAGTTATAACATAAAGCACTGTCTTTTGTAAGACTATTTATCCACCTGAATTTTCAATTTGAGGTTAGTGCATTAAATATTTTCAAATATTGACATCCTTTTCATGTATATAAATCAAGTAGGCATTATTTTTTAAAATGGTTTTCAGGTTAAACAGTATTTTTCTAAGATCCTGTGCATATCAAACTTATGACAAGCCCCATTAAGAATCATTATTTAATAAACATATCAAAAAGGGCTATGGTCAAATTTTCTTCTTTATAGGAAACATTTAATTTTCTGATTTCGAGTTTACAAGTGTTGAAAATGCACAAGAAAGCTATTACTTCACAAGTACTTTTATGTTAAGATATTTTGATTCAATAAACATGGCAATATATCTCCACACATTGTAACCAAAAGTATGTTTTTTTTTTCCTTAAAAAAATGGGGATGTAACATTAACAATCACTATAAAATAAAGCACACAGTATTTTGGTGAATTTACAAATCTTTTTTCCCAAGTGTAAAGGCTACAAAAATTCCTAAAAATTAGAGAACACTGAAAACATATTAAAATTTGACATCCAACTTTATATTATTTCCATTTTGCCCTGAAAGATAACTTAAAAAATATGACCCTGCTGGAACAGGCCATCTTACTTAATATAAAAAATTGGTGAGAGCAAGAAACTGTTATCACTGATATGTATAATTTTTGTAAATAGTTATCTCTTCAAATCATTAGAAAAATGCTTAAAGATAAAAAACAAAATAAAATAAAATAAAATATGATGGTGGTCCCTAAACTATTTTGAAGGCAGGTAGCTTAGTCTAAGCTAAAACATTTTTTTCACTCATAGGAATCATCCTCCCCTCAAATGCCCTTTAAAAAAATGCATGAAACAATGCAATAGTAGCAAGAATCAAAGAACAGAAAATGTATTTTCAGGAACAGAAAAAAATCTCTAGTGCTGAAAGATATAGTAAAAAGCAGATTTCTTTGGGGACATTAATTAGATTATAATTCATTATGAAGATTTCTCTTTTCTATTACGGGGAGAGTCTGCTCCATTTGAAGTTACTGTTCCATTGACACCATTTTCTGAAAAGAGAAAAAAAATCAGGATTACTTTCTTTTATAAATAAGTGTAAATGACAGTATCTTTTATACATGAAGGTACCTTCAGAAAAGAAAATTTAAAACCCAATATATAACTCTTATGCCCTTAGGTGAAACTTACTAGTGCTTAATCCATACGAGTATTTAACCAATCATAAAACACGCTAACAAGTTAAACACAATGAACTGAAAGCAGCAAATTAAAAAATTGCCATTTAGGATAACTCTTATGTTTAAGAGTGTTATAATGGCCTTCTTCAAGCTAGGGTGGAATAACTGATGTCAGACCAATCCTCCCTCCAAAAATATCCATAAAAGGAGAACATAAAAATGGCTATTTGAAGGCACTGGGGAAAAAAACAAGTCAGCTAAGAATATTTCTCCCCCAAGGGATTTGCCAGCTACTAAAGGAGCATATAGCACACATATACACACAAATGTGCACACACACCAAGCAAGACTCAGAGAAATCCAGCAGAAAGTAACTCTGTGAACAAAAACCTACACAGAGAATTGGGACGTCTCACAATGATAGGGAGATAAAAATAAGTATTCAGTGCCTGTCAGAGAAGAAAGTCCTTAGAAATAGTTGATGTCCTAGGAATGAGGGTGAACTGGAAATAGATAGGCTTCAGTGATATAGAGAAATAGTTGATGTCCTAGGAATGAGGGTGAACTGGAAACAGATAGGCTTCAGTGACATAGAATGATCCACTCATATTTAATCCAGAGTTCCTACTGATGCAGCCACAGTATCTACATTCTTTTACACAAAACATTCAGTATTCAATTAAAAATTACCAGTCGTGTTAGAAAACAAGACCAAATGACTAAAAACTAAGAGAAAAAAAAATATCAGAAATAGATCCTCAGATGAGCCAGATGTGGAGCTGTCAGACAGGGACATTAATAGAACAATGACTAATAAAAATAAATGCAAAGACAAGTAGTTTCATCCAAGGACTCAAAGATCTTTAATCCTAGGACTGGAAAATACCACAACTAAAAATATAAATTTAATAAAAATTTAACAGCAGATTAGACACAACAGAAGAGATTAGTGAACTAGAAAAAAATACTCATATTGAAACTCAGAAAATAAAGGATGGAAAAAAACCAAAAAAGCATGAAAAGATATAAAAGGACAGGGTAAAGGGGTTTAAACACATGTACTGGAATTCCCAAAGGACAGGAGAAAGAGAATGGGGCAGAAGCAATATCTGAAGAAATAATGGTGAAGAATTTCCCCAAACATAAAAGAAACCAAGCCAAGATTCAAGAAGCTAGGTACAACGCAGGGCAGGATATACACAAAGAAAATCAAACTTACACACATCACAGTATAACTGTCAAAAAAGAGAACAATTTCATCAGACTGGATGAAAACACTAAAATTACACACTGCTTACAAGACACAATTTATATTTAGGGACAAGAAAAGGTTTAAGGTAGAAAAATAGGAAACAGGAAAAGGTACACCATGATATAATATAACATTTTACTACAAGAAAATTGGTGAGCCAGAGTGAATTCAGACTAACTAGATGGACATGTGACAATAACAAAGGACACAGTCCACAGGGATTTATAACAACCCTAAACTTTGATGCACCTGTAATGTATCCTCACAATATTTAAAGCAAAAATGTACAAGCTACAAGGAGAAGTGGGTCAACACCTTTTGTAATAACTGACTGAACAAGCAGAACTCCTTCTACCAAGTCAGTAAAGACACAAAAGAATGGATCACACAAATGGACCTGATGCCTACCTACAGAACAACATACTCAACACACAATACACATCCTTGAGAAGTCCAAAGGGAACATTCATCAAAACTGAACAAATGATGAGACATAATGAAGGTCCCAACAAATTTCAAAGAACTGAAATCATTCAGAGTATGCTTTTTAACCACAGTGGAATTAAGGTAGAAACCACTAGTAAAAACTAGAAAATACCCAAATATTTGTAAACTACACAATGTACTTAAAAGTAATCTATGAGTCAAAGAGGAAATCACAATTGGAGTCATAAAATATTTGAAGCTGAATAATAATGAAAAAGATGTATCAAAACCTGTGAAATAAGGGTAAAGCACTGCTGAAAGGGAAGTCTGCCCTTAATTGCAAGTAATTCATGAGAAGGGATAAAAATCAAAGATTCATTTTAACAAAGCCACAAATAACAAAACAGCAAATTAAAGGGAAATAAGAACAGAAATCAATGACAGAACTGAGACAATCAGCAAAAGAAGACAAATGTTGGTTCTTGGCTGATGGAAGTGAAAAACAGAAAGGCATAAATTACTAACATGGGAAGTGGAAAATGGGAATCATTGCTGTTTTACAGGCGTTAATAAGTAGATACTATGAATAATTTTACATCAATACATTTCACAAATTTAGATGAAATGGATAAATCCTTGAAAAATACAATTTACCAAAAAAGAAATGATAAGAAAAAATTTGAATAATCCTATTATCTATTAAAGAATGTAAATCTATACCTTCCTATAAAGAAAAGTCTAGGTTGGATAGCTACACTGGCGAATCCTTCCAAACATTTGAATAAGAAATGATGCTGGCATTACATGAAGGACAAACCTGCCCAATACCTTTTATAAAGTCAGCAAAACTCATATCAAAACCTGACAAAAGGGCTAATTTTAGCCTAATCTTTTACATGAACACAGATGGAAAAATCCTAACAAAATATTGAAAAAACCATCCAGCAAAAGAGATACTATCATCAACTTGGATTTAGGCCAGGAAATACATTACCAAAAATACATATCTATATTCTTTATGAATACAGATATAAAAATCCTCAACAAAATACTAGCAAGTCAAATCAAGTGACATTCAAATGATTATGTACATTACCAGTCAGTGAGCTTTATCCCAGGATTGCATTATATGCTTAACATTAAAAAAATCAATTAACATAATCCATGATAACAATCTAGAAGAAGAAATGGCAACCCACTCCAACATTCTTGCCAAGATAATCCCATGGACAGAAGAACCTAGTGGGCTACAGTCCATGGAGTCACAGGAAGTCAGACACACTTGAAGTGACTGAGCACGCATGCATGATAATAAAGGATACAAACCATTTGATGATCTCAACAGTTGCAGAAAAAGCAAGTGATAAAACCTAACATCCTTTTATGATAAAAATTACAAACTAAGGAAAAAAGGGAACTTTCTCTACATGTTGAAGCCCATTTAGGCAAAACTCACAGGTAACATTATACTTAAAGGTGAAAGACTGGATGTTTTCCTGCTAAGATCAGGAATAAGGTGAGGATGTCTGTTTTTGCTTATTCAAAATTGTTCTGGAGGTTCTAGCCAGGGTAATTTGGCAAGAAAATGAAATAAAAGGCATCCAGACTGAAGAGGGAAAAGTAAAACTATCTCTTTGCAGATGACATGAGCCTGTATATTGAAAATGCAAAGAAATCCACAAAAATGCAATTAAATAATGAAATAAAACTTGAAATAAAAAACCCCAATAAGTACAGCAATGTTGTAGGATACAAGATCAATATGCAAAAATTCCATTGCATTTCTATAGACTGGCAATGAAAAATTCAAAAAGGAAATTAAGAAGACAATTCTATTTACAACAGCATCAAAAAGAATAAAATACTTAGGAATAAATTTAATGAAGTGCAAAACTTATACACTGATACCTATAAAATTTAATTGAAAAAAATTAAAGACCTCAAAAGACATAAAGACATCTATGTTCACACTCCCCAGGGCAATCTACGGACCCAAGATACTCCAAATGAAGTCCAGCTGACTTTTTTGCAGGAAAATGATAAACTGACCCTAAAATTTGTATGGAAATGCAAGGCACCCAGAATACCCAAAACATGAAAAAAACAAAACTGGCAGACTCACATTTCATGATTTCAAAACTTACTACAAAGCTACGGTAATCAAGAGAAGGGCATAAGAACATCCAGATGAAAAGAACAGAACAGAGCTAGAAATAAATTACTACTTTTAAGATCAACTGATTTTTTAACAGGAGTATCAAGACAATTAAATGAAAACTAGTTTTTTCCACAAATGGTGCAGAAATAATTGGCTATCAACATGTGAAACGATAAATGTATTAGTACAATGTTATACTTCAGAAAACAGTTGAGCAGTTCTCTGTTAAATATACAGTTATGATATGACCCAGCAATTCCACTCCTAGGTATATCCCAAACAGCAAAAACCAGGTGTTCAAACAAAAATATGTACACGAATATTAACAGCATCAGTCATAGTAGCCCCAACATGGAAACAACCCAAATATTCACCAATTTACAGATAAACATAACACTGTATCTTCATACACTCATTTATTATTTGGCCATGGAAAAGAATAAAGTATCGACACATGCTATGTATAATATATATAAATTTTAAACACATACTATGTGAAAAAAAAAATGCCCAGAAAAGGCTAATCTATAGAGACAGAACAGGTAAGAGGTTGCTAGGGGCAGAGGAAAGGAGGGAATGGAATGACTGCTAGTGGGCATGAGGTTTTTTCTGGATTTCTACAAATCTTCTGGAATTAGGCAGTGGTATTGAGAAACCTGTATACAGGTCAGGAAGCAACAGCTAGAACTGGACATGGAACAACAGACTGGTTCCAAATAGGAAAAGGAGTACCTCAAGGCTGTATACTGTCATCCTGCTTATTTAACTTATATGCAGAGTATATCATGAGAAACGCTGGGCTGGATGAAGCATAAGCTGGNGATGGCTAGATGGCATCACTGACTCGACAGACATGGGTTTGGGTAGACTCTGGGAGTTGGTGATGGACATGGAGGTCTGGGGTGCTGCGATTCATGGGGTCGCAAAGAGTTGGACATGACTGAACAACTGAACTGAACTTATGCACAATTTTGTGAATATACTTAAGAATTACTGAAATGTACACTTTAAAAGGTCAACTTCTCGTGTATGAATTATATTCCAATAAAGCAGTTATTAAAAAACATTTAATCAGAGATACTCTATATAAGTGGGAGGTATATAGCATGTTTGGGACTTTCCAGTTAGTACTAGTGATAAAGAGCCCATCTGCCAATGCAGGCGATGTAAGAGACATGGGTTCGATATCTGGGTTGGGAAGATCCCCCGGAGGAGGGCATGCCAACCCAGTCTAGTATTCTTGCTTGGAGATTCCCATGGACAAAGGAGTCTGGTGGGCTACAGTCCGTAGGGTCACAAAGAGTCGGACACGACTGAAGCAACTTAACAGGCACACACCTACACACACAAGTAATATCATACTTAAAGGTGAAAGACTGGATGTTCACATACACATCATGCTCATGGGTTGAAATACTCAATTCTCCCTCAGTTGATCTAAGGAGTCAATGTAATATCAACCCAATACCCCAGTGAAGCTTTTTGTGTGTATGGAAACTGACCAAGATGCACTAAAATTCATATGACACGCAAAGGGTCAAGAGATGCTGATACAAACCTGAATAAGGACAAGACTGGAAGACATAAACTATCAGATATAAAGACACAAAAGGAGCAAGCCACCACTATTGATAAAGATTTTAAAATGGAGTTTCTTGTCTTACAGTTTCAACTATAATACTACAAGTTGAAAAGTTATTCCACTGTCAATGCATTTTCAATCAAAAGCCTGAAGGAGAAAAGAGGTGAGAGGCAAAGTAAAAGATGAAGGGCCAAACAGTCAGGAGTTATACAAGAGCTGTTCCTCTTGGGACTAAAGGGCAGATGGAAGGAGCTGAAAGAGGTCTTGTTTTTCAAATATGAGTAAGATGTCTGAAAGTACTATCACTCTTCAGGATACTCACTCATTAAAACTGCCCATGTATACACTGGTCTAGAGGGGCTCAAAATCACCAGCTCTGGAGAACTTGTGAGAGAGAACTTTAGTGTCCATGTACACATTGGTCTAGAGGGGCTCAAAGTCACCAAGTCTGCAGAACTTGTGAGAAAGAACTTTAGTGGACGGTTTTTGAGGGGAATAACTGATTCGAGGGAACCACCAAACTGTAAGATGGAGCAAAATGATTTTCTTTCTAATTTTGCTAGTAAGTAGAATTAACTCTTCTTTTTAAGATTTTAAATCTTAATAAGATTATAAATAAGATCCCCAAAACATTAAAAAAAAAAAAAAAGTGTTTTCTACTTCAGGTTTTTCACTGTTTACTGAGTACAAACCTGTTCCTTTTCTAGAAGATCTGCCTTTAGTCACTGGTGGCTTCTTCTTCACAGCTGGTGCCTGAAAAGTAGAATGTTCTCTCCACCTTCGAAGCTGAAAATTAATGAACTTCCACATCATGAATGCTTGGGTAATACAAATGGATGCCAGAACAGCAATTCTGAGAATACAAACAGAAAATTAACGTGCACCCAAGCAATGCCATTGAATAAAGTAGTCTCTTTTGCTTTGACAGTATTAGCTTAGCGCTAAATTCCCATTACATTGACAAGGATTATATTAATGAATAATTACCGCACTAATAATTAACCCCAGGTGGCTAAGTGATAAGGAATCCACCTGCCAATGAAGGAGATGCAAGAGACTCAGGTTCGATCCCTGGGTTGGGAAGATCTCTTGGAGGAGGGCATGGCAACTCACTCCAGTATTCTTGCCCGGAGAATGCCATGGACAGAGGAGCCTGGCTGGCTACAGTCCACAGGGTCACAAAGAGTTGGACATGACTAAAGTGACTGAGCACAATAATTAACCCCAGAAGTTAAATAAATGCTTTAGTGATCTTTTTTCAAACTTTAAACTTTTTATTTTTTATTGGGGTATAGCCGATTACAATGTTGTGGTAGTTTCAGGTGAACAGCAAAGGGACCCAGTCATACATATACACGTATCCACTCTCCCTCAAATCCTTCTCCCAATCCAAGCTGGCACAGAATATTGAGCAGAGTTCCCTGTGCTAGAGAGTAGGTCCTTGTTGGTTATCCATTTAAAATACAGCAGAGTGGACATGTCCACCCCCAACTCCCTAATTATACCCTCCCCCTGGTAACCATAAGTTCATTTTCTAAGTCTGTGAGTCTCTTTCTGTTTTGTTAGTTTATTTTTATCTAAATGCTTTAGTATTGATACTTTAATTTATACATGAAATTGCAATAGGTATGAAATAAAATCAAATGAGTATTTTCCCCTACCTCTCATAATTATACCTTTATATTTTAGACAATTCATATTTTAAATTGATAATACATACTACATTGTAGGGCAAGGTGAGAAAAGTGTTAAATCAACCCTACCTAACAGCCAACACATTGAAGTTTCCAGTACTGAAATCCAGCTTCTGGTTCTCTGCTCTTGCCAGGCCAAAGCCAACAGTGAGTACCGAGAGAATTAAAGTCAGAAGTCTTCCCAAAACAAACAGAACTGCCCACAGAGAAAATCTGTGGGAAAATATGTCAAAGTCAGATTCACAAAATTGCAAAGATAAGATGCTAGTAGAAATCAGATTGCTGTTAAGTACCTGCATATTAAAACAGCCATTTCTTACAGTTCTGCAAAAAGGATTCTGAAATAAAATGCTAGGTAAATGCTTCATATTATATCACATTCTTGAAGACTGTATAACATATGAGCATATTTCAGGTTCTAGAAGTCCAGTTAAAGAAATATTTGATTTTTTTTTTTCGTTTAGCTGATTTTCTGTGTATGTGTATGACAACTATTAATGATTCTCAAAACTATTGGTATATAGAACAATTTTGGAAAAGGCTGAATAAAAACAAAGGCCATGTATTCCATTCTCGTGAAAGTCCTCGTTTCACTTTTTTTCTCCCCAAGGCTCTTTATAAGACATACTACATCAATGCTGTCCAAGTTTAATTTTCCCATCAAAATATTTTTGTATCTTTAAGGCTCTGTAATCTATTATTTCAATTTCTTCTGAAAGTTAACTTTTCCTCATTATTCCTTCTTCTAAAGAACAATGTGCACTAAACAAGATAGGAAAAGTTGTATCAGAAAAGTAAATCCTCAACCTTCAAAACTACAAGTTCCAATATACTATTTCTCAAGCTAAGAAAGACTATTTTAGAGAACAAAATACCAACTTCAATTGTTAAAACGTGTCATTTTATTTAGAGTAGCTTATAAAGCAACATAACTGCCCATAGCATGGACCCTGGCAATAGCACAGACCTTTGCAACATAGGCACTGACTTTAATTACACAAGAAACAGAATGGTTGAAAGACTCACCCTTTCTGATACTTTTCATCACTAAAGTAAAACAGGCGGGAAATGTGGAAAAGAAACTCGACAAAATAGTGTAGCACCAAAAGCACAAGTCCTAGATGATTCAAGCTGTTAAAAGAACACATTTAAAATGAAAAGATTAATTACAAATTAAGACAGAGTAGCATACTATCTGCCCAGTCCATAAACACACCCAAGAAAAATCCCAACTCACTTTAAAAGATACGCTCCAGCAATGTGAAAGAGGTAAAGGCCAATGTATACAAGCTGACGAGGAATATCTTCCTGTAAACAGAAAATGGCACAATGGGTTAACACTGGGGGAAGTAGTTCTGTTTGGAGAAGCGGTGTGAAAATGCAGTCACAGGAGACCTGAAGGCCACTCTGCCCAGCACCCACTCCAAGTGCTCACCCCAACTGGCCAGTCCTTTACCCTCTCTTGGCTTCATCTACTCATCTGGAAATGTGAATAACACCTGGGTTTGCTCGAATCAGATGAACTCTAAATCCCTTTTAGTACTGAGTGGTTCTTTTTATAATAAATAATATTAAATGACACAATCTTAATAACCATAATGTCCTTCTAATATTAAAACCGCTATGTTTATACCAGCAGAGATTCTTTTGTTTATCCAAATAGTATTCACGTTTTTTAGTCCCTTTCATTTCACTGTCAGTCAAGTCATGAAAACCAAAGGTTAAAATTTATCTTCTCACTTAGGACACCATCTGCTTGTATATTCTTTTTCCTCTGAATAACCCTGTAAGTCAGGTATTCAGATTTCACTTTTGCTTTTCTTTCCCTGCCAACCCCATAGTTCTTAGTGACTTGGTTATCTTAGAAACAGTGGTTTTCAAAGATATTTAACTCAAGTGACTCAAAAAATTAATTTGGGGGTCACCCTAACATCTTTTGAAATATGAAATATAATTTAAAAAATGCTAGTGTACAACACATTGTATTGTTTCATGAAAGTTTTATTCCAGACTTTACACACACCTGTACACACACAGAATTACAATGTAAACTCTACAGTTTTTCACCCTAGGTTACAGTAAAAAAATGTTTGCAAAAAATGAACAGCAGTTCCTACAAACACTTGTTAACTTAGGAAATGCCTATACCGCTCATTTCTACTCTGTTTTGGCAGTTTACCACATATATGGTTCTACTAGCCTGGCTAGTCCTATTCATGTACTGCAGCTCTAATTAAAATGATTACAATATGGTTGATGTCAGCAAACTGAGCACCATTTGCCTGGAACCTCACTAGACTTGTCTCTGGCATACAGGAGAGCTGAACGCAGATCTCTTCTCTTTCAGTCCCTACAATTCAAGTACAGTTACTTCACCAAATCTTCCGAGAAAGAGTAGAGAGTTTGTAAGTGTAGTTTTGAAACTGAAAAGTCTTTTCCAGTAAGAATGGTACAAAGATCAAGTGTTAGAGAACGTACGACAGCTGAACAGAACTATATAGAGTCTTCTATATAGTTCTCTTGGGGAAAATTCCCAAGACACAATACTAGGTGTACAGTGGAGCTTCCAACAGCAGAGAACTAAGGCTGGCTGACAATTTTCTCCACATAATTCTCAAACTTCCAATGAAATATTTCTCCTCACTAAAGGAGTGAGAGAAAAAGGTGTGATAACATGGCAAAGTTCAACCACAAGGAAGTCTCTTTACTCTCTTAAAATCATTTCAGACCAGCTCAGCTATAGTGTTATAATTGCAATTTGACATCCTATGGAAACAGAGGTGTCACTAAATACATGGTACTTGTATTTCTGAAAGTGTGGTGTGTATATCATTGGCACTGTACAAAATGATTTTAGATAGTATACAACAAAACACTTTACCTTTCACGATAATTTTATTTTTCATTTTATTGTTTCTAAAGATTTTTTTTTTTAATGTGGACCATTTAAAAATTCTTTATTGAGTTTCAATACTGCTTCTTTTTCATGTTTTGGTTTTCAGCTGCAAGGCATGCGGCTTCCCAACCAGGGATCAAACCTGCACCCTCTCCACTGGAAGTCTTAATAACCACTGGACTGCCAGGGAAGTTCCTCATTATAATATTAAATACATTTTAAGTTGCAGCGAGGTGGCATGTTAAGTGACTATGTATAAGAAACAATGCCATATTCCTTCAGATGTGCTACACAATGTTCCAGATTTCTGAGGGGAAAACAACACCAAGAGGACCCTTGATACTTAAAGAAGAAACACAAATCGGTTTTAAAAATACACTATTTAGCAGAGAACATAAGCTGCCTATCTTTTTTCCTGTTAGACAAATCTAAAAACACTACTATAAATTACAAACATACTATATTTTAAAAAGTCATTCCATTTCTCTTTTTTCTCCTTAAATCTCAACCTAATTATGTGAGGCAAGGTTTCACTTGCTCTTAGGTAAAGAAAAGCCCAGAGGTTCTTCCCTAAATTCAAGTTCAACTTTGCATCTCAGCCCTGCCTTTCTGATAGCAACTGAGTCAATCATGGTGAGTAAAATACCACCAAAGGTCCCATCACTACAACTGTCAAATCCTTAGCAAGAGCTTTTCCAAAAGGACAGAATACCAAGAAATCTTTTTCTAAGTAATAGAAACTAGAGCCTTCTACAAACTGGTCAGTGTCTCTAAAGCAATGTTTGCAAATTCAAAGCTGAACCAGAGAAAAGTGTCAAAATAAATGAGCGACAGGGAGGGGTCTACTGCAAGGAGTGGTGGAGAGTGCAGGTTAAAGGTGTTTCCCTATTAACAATAATAAGGTGACAGGTGTGATGTAGCATGATTTTTAAAATGAGACCAGACTTCCTCTGACGTTCTTCAATTCTCATAGGGTTACAGCCCTTCTGGGGCTTTACATGCCTGTGGCCAACAATAAAGAGCTCACCCAGCACCATGGTCTCTGGGGCCTACATGCTTCCCTGGGGTGTGGGGATCAGTGAGAAAAGAGAAGGCTGGGTGAAAAGATCAGTGAGAAAAGATGTCGGCACTCTTAGAGGCAGTTCACAGTATCAGTTAACTGGCCACATCACAGATTTCAATTAGGGAGTTAGCACGCCATCAAAGGGTGGCTCATAACTGTTCTAGAATCTAGAATCTAGATGAATGCAAATGTGGATGAGAAAAAGCTATTTTGGTTTTCCAAGACTCACCACCCTATGATTTTGTTATGTAAATAAACTCTTTTTACCAGAAGTCAGAAATGAGGTTTTGTTTATTTACAAACTTTCTTAAACCTGAATGGAAAAAATATGTAATGAAATGAGCAGTTGCCAAGTACTTATACATCCTTAATGCTAACATTCAAGTAGTTTATATAAAGACAAAGTCATAGACTAATGACTTAAAATTCTGATAAGTCTCCTTTTTCATGGAATACCTAATAAACACAGTACACTTAAATCGAAACAAATGCTAAAATTATAAATAACTTCAGGTGACATTTTTGGTTGTTATTCCAACATCTTTTATTAACCAGGTCAGCTGTATACTTTAGTAAATTTCTATTTTTATAAGGAAATATTTTTCTTAACTACACAGTACTAAAATATGAACTTTACTTTAAACTGAATATCGCATATATGCCCAAATATAAGGCAAAGATTTTCCCCTAAACCAAAAATGTAGTCATCTCACATGTAAATTTTTTCAAAGCTCTCATACTACAGAGATCTGCATTGATTATTTTGAACAACAAATAAATGGGTTAAGATACATAACCTGAGAAAACTCAACCAATGTCATTTCTAAATGCTTACACAAGGTTAGTGGAGGAATCAATAAGACAGAGTAACGATGTACTCTAGAAAAACTGATTTAAATGAGTCAAGGAAGCTCCAGTGATGAAGGACAGATATTAACAACAAGTTGCACATGAAAAGTGTGAATTTAACCCTCAGGAAGGAGTGGGCAAAAAGCTTTTTAAAAATTTAATATACTTTATATCATATACAACTGTATGTATGGATAATTAAACCAAATAATCTGAATATCAGAAATAAAACATTTGGATATTCCATCCACACTTCCCTGAAACTTCTTATATTCAAGATGGCTAAGAAATTACATTTGAATCCTCTTATGGACAAAAGAGAGGTCTGTTTATATTGAAACATACATATTACATGCATTTAAAATATTTTTCTTAAAACAAACTGAGTTATTTGTGACTAACACACCTCTTGAATTGCTACTGTGTTCCTTTTTCCATTTCTCTGTAGGACTGGGTCAAAACAACCCCTGTTCTAATTTTTTTCCAGTGAAGAGTTCTTCCAAAAATAATTCTTATAGAGTAAATTTTAAGAAACCGTTGAACACATATGCAGCTGTTACTTTCAAATTATGTTAATTACTTGCAACAGTTACTTTCGACTGTCATATGTAGGTGTTAAAAATAGTTTCAGTTAAGTTCTAAGTTATGCAAATTATTCCACAAAAATTAGATTGCATTTTTGGAGAAATGCCATCTGGCAGGAATTGATAAGAAAAGAGCTTTGAGAACTAAAATGAACAATTACTTTGAAATGTCCCTCTCTACTTACATGGTCAATGAACAATATATAGACATATGAACTCATAATGAAACCCAGAGGTAAAACATCCATAGGTACAGAAGTACATGAAGATCTAAACATCTGAACCACGGTACTAAGATATCAAGGACTATGACGGTCTCAGCAGTGCTCCACAGAACCTTCTGCAATGAGGGCTAGGTTCTCTGTTTCTGATCCAAAATGGCAGACTGTGAAACCATGTGTGCCAACGAGCATTTGCGACATGGCTAGTGTGACCAAGAAAGCGAAGTCTGTTTTTGTTTAATTAAGTTAAATGTGTCTTGTGGCTACTGTTTCGGACACTGCAGCTATGGGACATGTATGGTTCACATTAGGTAATCACTAAATATGGAAGGGTTATTGTATTGGAAGTGGTGTGCCTAAAAATTTTTATCTTAAGACAGTTCTAAGTCAAAGGTTTTATGGATCTTCATCCTAATCCTTATAATCCACTTAACTAGAAAACCATTCTACTTTACATGGACTCTAATTTGGTGCTATTCTCTAATCATCGCAGACATCAATGATGACTGACACCCATGACATAAAAACCACAGACACAACACAGCAATGAAATCAAGCACTTATACTCATGAATTAACTACTCAGAGTACACATAGAAAGAAGTGCTTGTGGCTTTTAAGAAGGCAGAGATAAAATGGTCACTGGATGGGTGGTTACATTTGTTTTGGAAAAGCTTCTCAAAGTAAGGGGATTTTAAAACCAGTGTTTTAAATGTGGAAAAATGTAAAATACACACAACCCACAGAGAGCATAATGAATCCCCATGTACCTGTCTCCCAACTATGGCTGTTAACTCATGACTTTCTTTTTATCCATCACCCGCAGCCCCCCACCCACATGTCAGTTCATATATAGGGATTTTAAAAACAGTCTCTCCCCAAAGGAGAATAAAAGTGCTTGATTAATTTATTAGAAAAGGTATCCCGGAGAAAAGAACTATGTGCTGGGATTACAAATTAGAGAATGTTAAAACTGAATGAGGTACAAAAAGGGAAGAAAAAGGGACCAGGGGACAGGGGCACAGATGGGAAGAACCCTTGGAACATAGTGAGCAGCTTGATTTTAATTTAGAGCAAAAAGGACCTAGCGCAGGTTTTAGAAGAGGAAGAGTTAAACCAAGGAAACGAAGTTTACTCTGTGACATCAGTAAGCCTGACTTCAGAGGTACCGACAGTAAAACTACACAGGAGGCTACTGCAGTGCTCCAGGAGCGGAGTTACTGTTCAAACAAGACAAATGAACATCTTTCCTACCTAGTTCACTAGGAAAAGAGTCAAGGTGAATATTTAACTCTGGTTTACTTTTCTCAATATTGAAGTTTTCTCTGGGACTTATACACAGTACCATTAGCTGCAGAATAATCTAATTAATCCATTTGGTCTCACTTGTGAAACTGCTAAGAGTTTGAATATTACATTGCAAGATTTGTTTAAATTTTATTTTAAATTACCATTAGTACAATTTTAAAATGAGAAATTAGCATGTCAAATATAAGATCTCCCCCTCTTAAGCTGAAATGAATAAAAGTTTCTGCAATAAATACTTAAAGACATTTAGTCTGTGTGGAGAAAGGGGAGGTGAGAGGATAGTGGGGGGATGGAAGAGGGGAAAGGGAGGCTAGAGATGTGAGGAAATATTTAATTTTAAAACTACTTCTCAAAAAAAGGTAAAAATGACAACACAAATCTAAAAATTACAAAACCCTGCTTACTTTTTTGGTTTTCTGGAAGTAGAGTTCAGGAAAAGCATGAAACCAGTATGCCAACTGTGATATGTAGAAAAACTTCATCTGAAATCTGTGTAACACAAGAAAGTAGAACATATCGTTTAAAGCACAACATCTTTAAAGAATAAAGTAAAAACAAACACTGGAAATCAGGACGTGCTAAGTAGCTACCTTTGTGTTACCATTTCAGGTCCCCTTATAATACACTTCTTGTACTTTACTCGGCAGTAGCCCCCTTCCCCAGCCCCCCAGGGCCTCCCCACCATCAGTCAGTTCCTCTGGACTAAACAGTGAAGCAAAGACACGATCCACAGAACCCTGGGAGCAACCAAGCAAGCTACCAGGAAACAGAGCCCCTTGCCTGTGAGTGAATTAGTGCTGATAAGTGTGCCTGTTAGCCACTGAAAATGTGCGGAACATGTCTCTGAGGGAATCAAATCACACATCTGTAAGGGTTCCACAAAAGGGAAGTGGGAAGGGCAAAAAGATGGCGAGGAAGTGAAGGTGCACAAATTCACCAGCGCTGGAAACTGAGACAATCCTAATTTCAAACAACCTCTGGAGTTTTCCTTAGGGAAACATGGTAACTCTACCTGGCTGAGACACTTGAGAGCACCCAATAAATGGAAGCAAACTTGGATTCAAGAGAGGAATAAGGCACTGCAGAGCTCCCAGGAGACATTTCTCATCAGTCTAGAATCCACAGTCTCTTCACACCACACCCCTCTAGACCTCCTCTTTCTGCCCCCTCCCCCCCTAGGTCTAAAGTGGAAAACACAAAGCCTATCTGAATAATTCTGTAGGGAGAGAGGGGAAGGGGGACAGAGAAGGGGAGAAAATACAGTCCCACATAAATATGATGTTTATATCCCCATTCTACAAAAGTGCATTGAGTTAATACACTTATTAAAAGTTAGAATGGCTCAGCAGAATATGGTAAAACTGTAGGTCATGTTGCTGCTGCTGCTGCTAAGTCACTTCAGTCGTGTCCAACTCTGTGCAACCCCAGAGACGGCAGCCCACCAGGCTCCCCCGTCCCTGGGATTCTCCAGGCAAGAACACTGGAGTGGGTTGCCATTTCCTTCTCCAATGCATGAAAGTGAAAAGTGAAAGTGAAGATGCTCAGTCGTGTCCGACTCTTAGCGACCCCATGGACTGCAGCCCACCAGGCTCCTCCATCCATGGGATTTTCCAGGCAAGAGCACTGGAGTGGGGTGCCACTGCCTTCTCCGGTAAGTCACGTTACTCTCTTCCTATCTTTTTCTCCAATTCTCCCATCACAATGCAGCCACTGACTACTGCCTAGGTGATAAGCCCCTACGGCTGGCACAGCAAAGGATATGGAAAGAGACAGCTCCTTCTGCTGTCAAGTACATACAGTCTTGGTGGGCATGGGCACAACATAAGACTGACTTACATAAATGAGACAATTACAGAGCAGCCAAGACCATGTATAAACATAAAATACTGCACAACAAAATGAAAAGTTCAGGAAAGCAGAAGCCCACATAGGCTAAAGGAGCAAGGAAAATATGGAATAGATGTTTTAGAACTGGGCTTGAAGAATGAATAACTTAGCTAGCTGACTTGGCGACCGCTGAGCTTCTTATAGCACTGTACAGAAACCTTGGGGGCCAAAAAAGTGAAACAGTCTCTATCCTCAAGCTTACAGTGTAAGAGAGAAGGAATGGAAGAAAAGAGACTAGGGTAAAGAAAAGGAGCAAAAGTATGTAGAAGATGGAGCAGGGATGAGGGAAAAGAAGACGACAGAGGACTAAATTAGGATTACTATTAAAACCAGTTTTCTTAAGGTAAAAGACACAGTGAAAAGACTATACACATAAAAAAAGCACAAAGGAATTTTTTGTTCTCATGGCAGCGTGACTGCCAAAGACATACCTATCGTACGAATTTGCCTCAGGTCTTAAAAGAGAATAACAAGTCCTGCTTAAAAGTGACATGATCATGGCCCTTCAGTGAGAAGTCTACTAAAAATGACTTACGTCATCAGGTTATGGGGATAAGCCCTCCACAAGATAGTCGGGTCTGAGATGTAGTTTTCCTAAGAGAGAAGATACAATAATTAGCCTAATGAGCATGTAAATTCCTTAGAAAATAAGACAGTATTTTCATTTCTTGCACATTTACAACTCTCCATCTCAAGTTCCAAAGGGTCCACGGAAGTCAAACATTTTAGATGTTTTAGTTATTTTTCATTCAGTCGAACTGCTTACTTTAGTGAAGTGAAAATCAATGAGTGATGTGAAGTCCAAAAAGACGTAATTCCTGGCTTTTGAAATTCTTTCGATCCAGGAGAGTAAAAAAGACACATATGCAAACACAACCAAAAATCAGTAATGGCACATAACAGTCATCCAAGGAATGAATTTTGCCTCAGGTAATCAAAGAAAGAGTTCCAAAAGAGGGGGCACCTGACAGGAGACAGAGGATCAAGCTGGTGCTAAGTTTTATAAGATTATGTCCACATAAGGAGAAGGAAATGGCAGCCCACTCCAGTATTCTTGCCTGGAGAATACCATGGACGGAGGTGCCTAGCAGGCTGCAGTCCATGGGGTCACAAAGAGTCAGACATGACTGAAGTGATTCAGCATGCATACATGTCCACATAATAACCATGTCTTTTTCTTAGATAACCCCATCTGTTTAGTGAGAATTATCACTTATGTATATACAGAAAAAAATGAAGCAACTTATCCTTATTATCTATTGAGGTTTAACACATTTGTTTTTTTAAAACTGTGTAAGACAGAATTTGTATACATCAATAATAATAAAAAATTTCTGAGTATATAAGATTTTAAGCTGAATTTTATGTTCATCTATAATCACTATAAAAAGCAGCAGTTTACAACGGAACAAGCACTGGACTTGAAAAGCTGAGTTTTAGTTTGTCTCCAACTGTGTCATACCCAGGAAAATTCACTTGGCCTATTTATTCATCTCTAGTATACATGCAACCTTGTGAAAGTATCACTGATAACTTACTCTTTCTGCTAATACAGAGCCACTTGCAAATGACTACAAGATATATAGACAACATTCAGATCGACTAATACTGAGTAAGGCTTTCTGAAATACTGAACATAGTTGGCAATTTTTGCTGTATAAAAACTCAGAGAGGCTTACTGATGAAACTTGATTTATACTAGTTCAATAGCAGAACTCCTAATCTTAGATAAGAACAACAACAGAAGAGGAATTTTTCTAAGGTTCGGGGTTTGCTTATGAGTGCTAAAAATAGGACATCATTTCCTGTTCTGAGTATGTAATTAAATACTCTGAGAGATGAGAATTTAAGCATAGTACATACTTACAGATACGAGAATGAATGTGCCCCAAATACAAGAAAACAGGTAGAATGCACTAAGCTGACCAGATTCATTAAACTTGCTGTGTTTCGTTTTGGAGAAATGCATTCGCCTGTTAATTTTCTAAAAATAAAAACAATTGTAAATTTAAGATTATAAAAATGTATTTAATGTAACTATCATGGTATGGAGAGCTAGTATTTTATAAAGTATACATTTCTAAGATTGTATACTTACATCCAACACATATTCTTGAATTATGGCATGAATAATTATCGCCACTAGCATGTAGAAGAAAACTGTAGCCAAATCTTTGATACCATAGTAATAAAGGAACGCTGATTCAGTAGCTTGTTCTTCTGAAGGTCAAAAGGACAGGACAAACACACACACAAAAATATGCATAAGATTATAAAAACAGCACTGAGTACAATACAGTTACGGAAACAAAAGAAGACTAATCTAATAAATAAGTTTACAGAAACATCACGGTAATATGCTGTTGGACACCTTGAGTCTTAGCAGCAATGAAAACTGAGATTACCTAGAAGTCTAAAGCTTCAGAAATTACTTACAAAGACTCGACACGGGTTAGTTACGGCCATTAAAGTCAGAGCACAGCGGAGCGGAGGCCACACTCAGACCCCTGGAGCTCCCAGGGGTAGAGCAGGTTATATTTCAGTTATATTAAAGGAAGGTATACTTAGCCCATTTGCTTGTGTTTTCAAGGAACTTTTGAAACTTTCAACTTTCTAGCTCTATTTTTCAAACTAGATACCATATTTATGATTCTGATGGAAAAGCTGACTTTGATTTGATTTAGTTTTGAACTCTAAGCAGGGCAGACAGAAGCAACTGCTACAATTGTTTTCAGTCTTTAAAACTGCTAATTTTCCAGAACAAGACTTAAGCAAATACTTGTGAGTTGATAAAAAGAGCTTTGTTCTTCTCTGGCATACTCAAATTTCTAAACAACTTTGTGGTTTTGAGTAATCTGATATCTAAATTACTAAACCAAATATTTACAAAATGGTAAAACTGAACAAAAACCCAACTCCATGTTGTGTAATTTATCTTACATTCTAAAGAGAGAGACTGGGGACAAATTTACTGCTTGAATGTCTTATCTTGTTAAGTGAATACCCCATCCCTTATCCATGCTAATAAGTTAATTACTATATTCAACTATAATCAACTTTAAATAACTATTGATTCTCACAGAGCATAATCTAGAAAAAAAAAATTTAAATAAAACCTAAAAATGTAGTTTGGATGCTATTTCCAAGATATCTCTTAGAGCATACTGTCATTCTCTCATCAAAACAACTGATAGATGGTAGAGCAGAATCAAAAAGTAACAATAAAATGGGCTTAAGAGGGATATTACAGTTCCCAAGCAGAACTCATAGGTCAAAAAAACTGAACCTGAACACTGGGCCTTTAGAAACCTTGACTGAACAATGACACTTCAGAAAATGCAAAATATCTATTCTTAGGATTTTCTTATGGAAAGATCAGAGGGAAGAGAAGGACAAAAAAAAAAAAAAACAAACCCCACAAAAACCCTGTTCTTCGATGGAATTTCAAGCCCACTTACAAAAGTACACAGTAAACATTAAACACATAAAAACTGATTTTCATACAGGGTGAAGTCAACCCAAAACATCAGATCTTGTATTATTACAAAATCATCAAGAATAATATTCATTCTCATCATGAATGAGATCTGTGAAGATAAAGAAGAACCTAGTGTTCACAGAAATTTCCAAGTCTGCCCAGATGAACTGTTCTACTTAACCAGGAAATTCCAAAAGAAAAAAGAAAACTACCTACCTGTGGCAGGGAGGGTAACATTATACTGAAGAGTAACAAAAATGATAGAAACTTTTGCCGTTATCTGGAAAGAAAAAAAAGATCAGGTCAATTAGTGACGCTCTCCCAAACAGCAACTCTGGGGGAAAAAACATTCAAGTTCTCTCCCTACATCTGAGAACCAAGCACCTCCCCCCCCCAGTTCCTGTGTCACCCAGACAGGTACAACTGGGATTCCCCCTCGCCAAGGAGTTGAAGTTAAGGTAATTCACCAGAGCAGTCTGCAATTTAGATGGGATTGTGCAATTCACTCCTAACTTTAAGATTTCAAAAAAGAGAACTGCAGTTCCAGTAAACAGTGTTTTTGATAAATAATGTTTCTCTCTCTAGACCTGTACAATGAACACAAAATTGCCATCAAGAAAATTTTTAAATGTAAGTTAATGAAAGAAAAGGGAGCACCGTTACCAGGACGAAAACGGACCGAAGGCAGGTTCTGTGGTGTGTGTGTTAATCTCCCGCACACCTGGCATAGGTACGTGGTCAACAATATTTAACTGACCTGCCGACTGGTACAAGCAAAGCGCTCACAACAGGAAAACGGAACACTTACTCAGTATTTACAGGCACAAACACTGTACCAGACAAGAAAGGATAACAAAGACGATGGTATGATTCAGATGACGAGAAACTTATTTGGGTTTTGGAAGAAACAAATGGCTGTAATACCAAAGAATCAGAGCTAACAGGAACTGAGGAGAAACAATGCATTTTTTCTGTTGTTTTTGATTTCTTCCTGGGGTGAGGAGTGAGGTTTTTGTTTTCTTCCTGAGGTGAGGAAAGGCTCTGCAAGGAGATGTGGTGCCTGAGCGGCTCTTGCTGGCAAAGAAAAGTTCCCTCGCAGGGGAGGGGAGGACAGCCCAGGCAGGAAAAAGGGAAGCGCAAAGGTCAAGGAGCTGGAAGCAGTAGGTCAGGCGTAGCAAGCAGGTGGACATGAGGGAGGGCCTCTGTGCTGACCTAAGTAGTGCAGACTTTATTGTAGCCTGACCAGACAATGTGAGGAGGGAGTTACTGGTGTTTAGAGAGACGGCTGACTGTGGCCCAGTGCTGGCCCCCCAAGTCACCCTCAGACCACACTCCAGCTGGCAACTGGAATCCTGCCCTTCATCAGGTGAACACACTGCCCAGGCCCGCCCACCCTTCCTCCACCACCTCTGGAGGTCCTCCAGTTGAGTCCCATTCTTTCCAGGATGAGAACTCCAGGGTCTGGCCCTGCCTCCTGCACTCCTCCCACCCAGGGCTCTGTGTGCATGTGACTTTATCGGAAAACCTCTCCACTCGGGATCTCAGGTCAACTACACCCTTTCAAGGAAGCCTTCCCTGCCTCTTAGGATAGGTCATTTCCTTTGTTAGACTGCCTCAGAGACCTGAGTTCCATTCTTACAAAATGCACACTCTCGGCGTGCTGATATTCATAACTGCTGTTACCCAATACAGTAGCCTCCGTAAAAGCCAGGACCACACTGGTTTCTGTTCACCACTAGACGCTCAGAGTCCGGCAGGGCGTGTGGCATTTATTCAGTGATTGATCAACATTACTAAATAAATATCAGACAAAAAATAAATTGGAGTAAGGAGGCAAGTCAAGTATGAGAGAAACCCCGTGAAAGCTAATAAGGCTTGAACTAAGGCAGCGGTGGTAGAACAGAAGTGGAACCTTGGAGGCAGAATAAGGCTAGTGGAGACGATGAAATTCCCATTGAGCTGTTTCAAATCCTAGAAGATTTGATGATACTGTGAACGTGCTGCATGCAATATGCCAGCAAATTTGGAAAACTCAGCAGTGGCCACAGGACTGGAAAAGGTCAGTTTTCATTCCAATCCCAAAGAAAGGCAATGCCAAAGAATGCTCAAACTACC